GCCATTCATAGTAAATGTTATGGGTATCTTAAATTTCATGTAATATTGGTATGCAACCGACTGTTTCTATTCAAAATAGTAAAAGTGACATGATCTCCAGGAAGTGTAGTGAGAACACTGGAATTGTTAGATAAAGATCATTAGTTCAAAATCGGAATCGGTTTCCCTTTCTGTCCTGAGCTGATGAGCTGGGAGGCCACCGTAAAGTTGTAGTGGCCATCCATTTATCAGTGGGAGTTACTGACACATGCTTCTCTTAGTCTTAAGCTTAAGCTTATTTATATTTTAACCTGGTCGGGGAAAATCTGTTCAGCTCTTCTTTCCTCCGTTGGTATGAAAGGATGTAGGATAAATCAAAATCACAGAGCAGTGTCAGTACTGAGTGTTGCTCTGTTAAGGAAATATCATGGTAACATTTTAAAAAATGTAATTTGTCTTTAAATTCAAGCATCTTTAAATAGGATTTTATAGGTGATGTGTAAACCTTGATTATACGATCTTTATTAAATTTAGATTAATCTTTGGGATTTTAAAATTAATTTGAAGATTAAATTTAGGTTAATCTTAATGACCTTGTTATTTAGTGGAGCTTTAATTTCTTTTCTGAGTTCAGTGTGGGATATTCATATCTTTCTTTTTATAATGAACATTTATAAAAGATAAGGAATCTTAAATGAAAATGAACATGTAGTCAGGACATTTTTATGAGGCTAGCATGATTTATCACTTGTCTTTTAGAAGGATGTTGAAGAGGACTGTGTGAGAGTTCTAGGTGTGTTTAAGCTGAAGTTAATAACTTAGTGAAGCTTATGGGAAAAGATAATGGAAACAGTGAATTGTTGATTTGCTTGGTTTCTGTGGAATGTAAATGTTTCCCAGATATTTCCTCAGCAACTGAACAAATTGGATTGACCCAAAATACAGTTAGCAGTTTGGCAAAATAATCATCCAGACTTAAGTTTCCTTCTGTCTTCCTAGCTTATGATTCCAGTTGTCGATAGGGTGTTTGTTTCAGGTGGCCTACTTGATTTTTCTTTTGTTAAACTGATTGTCAATGCTTTCTTGTTGGCCGCTGCCACCACCGGAGATGCAGCAAGCAATGGCTCTGGTTGGTGCTGCCCCTCGGCAAAGCGTGCTGCTTGTCCCCAACTAGCCCTTCTGGCCATCGGGACATTTGAAGGGAGCATCATTTGAAGGGAGGAGATGCTGACTGCCTTGCATGCCGGTCCCCAAGGCTGCATCAGGCTGTTGAGGTCAGACCAGTGTGGTGTATTGCTTTGATCCCTACTGCTGCCTTTTTCTGAAGCATGATATTAGAAATCTAAGGTAAACGTGGATTTAGGTACTGCAAGGTCCAAGAGCATTTGAATGTCAGCGCTGTGTGCTTCCAGCTGGAAGACTAAGCAGAGGTGTACAAATCACTGTTTGTGGCATGGTGTGTGTGTTGGTAGGTATGCACAAATTCCAGTGGCAGGGTAGTATTGAAGATAAATTGCAGGTTATACATCAGCTGTAGCTAAAGGAACGTGGTGGTGATACATAAGGGGACGGTGGCTGGTACTGAAGTACCTTTTTATTGAGTTGTGGGGGAGGTTACAAATGGCTGAGTTGGAGATTTCTAACTTGTCAGTTGTAGGATATTAGCAGATTCTTGGCAAAATGTTGGACAGCAAATATGAATATGTATTTGAGTTCAGCTGCTGAACCTCACTGGAAGGTACTAAACATTCATCAAGCCCACCCACCTTCTTCCCTGGAGAGTGGCCCAGTAGCTGAGTTAGGGTAATAACAAGTGCTGACCTATGGTGTACTTCTGTCAGATGTGGTTTTATGTTTGAGTGGTTAAAGATTGATTTAAAATGTATATAGTTTTGAACAAATGACTGGAAACAAAATAGATTACTGCAGGTTTCACTCACCCATTGTCTCTCCTCCTTGTGTTTTCCACACAGCATCTTACACTAGGTTTGTCTCTTAGTACCTAGAGTTACCGAAATAGCACGCAGGCAGTTGATTGTTAAAAGAGAGAAGGGGAGATCCAAATTTGGTCATGCTTTAAGTCATAAGGAATAGTCTGCAGGGGGTTTAAAATGCTTAGTCTGTCTCATCACGTTGTACTGGATAAATCACTGCAGCATTGGCTTTTACTTTACTTGCCTTGAAATGTCACGATCTGTTGGTAAGAGGGAGGAGGTGTGCTCCATGAGAGGAAGCCATTGGTTTAGGCAGTTGCTATAGGCTGGATTTTGTAGTGGGTTGATAATCCATCCTGATAAACTTTGTTCATGCGCATGCGATAAATGGACATTTGCTTGTTCTGTGGATGCAGCAGTGATGTGCTACGCGCAAGGAGGTTTGGATTGCTTGCTGTGTATTAACAGGTGCGTTGTTATTGCTAATCAGAACCCTGATAACTAAAATTAATAGTGGGCACAAAGATGAGCAATTAAGGACATTCATCTTCCAAATGAGTCTACAAGATTCATTGGTAGTTTAAATTTATATACTGAGGGCACTTAAACCATTAAAAAGGGTAATGGGTGCCCTGCAGGCATGTGCTTTGAAGCCGTATGTCATTTTGGTGCTGGGACAGCAAACAGTGATAACTTCCCTTTAAGGGAAACTGCTATTCATTTTTCAATTAAATGTTGAAGGAAATGTACATTTTTGCTGTGGAGTGATCATAGCAGTGTATTGTAAGTTAAATCAAAGACCAAGATTTATGTTCTAAGCCTTTCTGGCTTTATCATGATAGATGTTAATTAGAAAAGTCTCTTGGTGGTAATAGGGCATTGGCGTTGGGGCCTTTAAAGGCATAAATGTTTCTTTGCACAAATATTTCTCTTCTTTTGCCTTGCAGTCTTTGACAGTAACACTGATGTAGTAACCAACTTAGTGCAGAGTATGAAATGTTGGGGCTTTTTTGTTGTTGTTGCTGTGTTTATGTTGTCACAGGGTAACATCTGAGAAGGTTTTGCTAACATGGAGCTGAATATGAAGTTTTAAGGTTTTATGGCACAAGGATTTAGCAGTGTAGAGGTTTCTTTCTCTCCTGGTGTTATCCTTGCCAGCCAAAGCACTGGTTAACAAGTGGTTCTAGGAGTGCCCTGGAATGAGTATCTGGCAGTGGTTTTTAGTGAAGTAGAATTAGCTAAAACTTAGGTTGTTTTGTCATTTATTCAAAATGACAAATACTTATGCAGAACTGTGGGAATTATTTGAGTTGTCTCTTACTGAAGATGAAACATAATCTCAATTTGGCACTCAGTCTAGATTTTCTGATGAAATTTGGTAAAAGGGACTTCCTCTTCCCCAAATATGAACGCTGTTTTTGCAAACTCTGTGCCTGTTATGTGACATTTGAATACTCTATTTTGGGTAGGTAAAAGATATTGTTATCCTCAATTTGATGACATACATGTCCATTCCTCCTTTCCTTATTCTCTGGCCAGTCCTAGTTCCAGGCCATGTACATCTCGTACAGAGGGCAGAAGTGAGCACAGACTGTAGTTCTTCATGGTCCTCGTTCTCCCCCTTTCCCATCTCCAGCCCGTTCTCCTCCCAGGTGTAGTGTGGGCTGGTGAGAGCCTGGCAGGCATGGGAGGGTGTTCGCTGTTGATGGAGTGGTGGTGACTCATCATACAGTGACACTAGAATTTACCATAACAAGGATTTTTTTGTTTGTTCTTGGGACCCGCAGTACTTGTCCCATATTTTGTATTCAAAAAGTCAGACAATGAAGTCATCACAAATGCTCCTGTAATTCTAGGGGTGTCTTCTTAATAAGAGGAATTTTTGTTGTAACGACAGTTTTTGATTGGATTGATAATGCCCTAACTACTGAGGATAGGGAGGAGAGGATGCAAGAAATATCTCCCCTGATTTCCAGGAGTTGTTTATAATCTAATTCTTGAGTTCTTATATAACTTCTTTTCTGGATTAAAAAATACCACCTAAATGAAGATGAATGCACTGTTTTCTCTTTCACTCTCTCCTGGTCATGCCTTTTATTTTTGAGCAGGAGGAGCAAACTCAGGGACTGTGTACCATGAATGGAGAGAACTGATGCTGCAGAGTTGTATGTGTGATATCTGTATTTTCTTTCATTTACACTCTACTCTTCTTGAACCGGGCTCTTTTGATTCCTTTACTACTTCTGTCTCAAACCTTAATCTCTTGGTTTCTTGTTTTCTTGTTTTCTTCTCTCTCTCTTTCCCAGCCTACTTAATTGCGTTAAGTGAAGAATGTAAAAAAACCCCACAAACTTACTGAATGAGACAGGGCAGACATTACTGTGTTATACAGGAATTTTTGGTGTTTCCCCCTCCCCCCCATCTTTTACATTTCTCCCCTTCTTCTTTCTCCCTGTCACTTCTCCTCACAACTTTTGTTGTAAGGTTTTCATGTCTGTTGTTTGTGTGACCCTGAAAAAGCGCCTTTAATTTGTGTTCTGTTATGCTAGATTGATTTAATAAAGCAAGATTATCCAATTCATTCTGCAGCAATTATTTCATTTCTAAGTAATTTTAATTATTTCATCTGACTGCTTTTGTTTTGGGCACACTATTTATCCTTGTCGGTGTTTGGACTACTTATACATAGGAGTTGTTGATTTACACCTTTAGTTTTTGAGCCTAGTCCGTTATTTTTTGTTTCCCCCTTGTTTTGGATAGCCTGTTGCTTTCTGTCACGCAGACATTGGGCCAGGTTTCACTTGGGCTCAGTGACTCAGCCTGTGATCTCCTGCTCTGACAGAACGTGCTCTTGGGAGAAATTGGTTGTGTGAAGCAGAGACGTTTTAAAAAGAGAGGGGAACACTGATGGATGAGCTGCTTGTGGATTTTAGCTTTGTGCAGGCAAGCCTGTGCCACAGGTTGCATGGACTTTGTAGTTGTGGTGCGCCCAGGAGAAACACCTCTGCTTGACTCTTGGAAAATCTCTACTTTTAAATAAACTAATAACAAGTTTCTTCCCTAGGGGGATGTACATTTGATGATGGTCTTGGACCCTGCGACTACCACCAAGACTTGTACGATGACTTCGACTGGGTGCATGTCAGTGCTCAAGAGCCTCACTATTTGCCGCCTGAGATGCCTCAAGGTGAGAACCTCCCCCAGATACTGAAGGGATAAGTTTCTCTGTGAAGAAGCTCAGACCCTCACTGAATATGGCCTCAAGGCCATACTCTGTGATGTCCACTTTAAAATTGATAATGGAGGTAATAAAAAGAAACAAAAATAATAAATATAACAGTCTTGGTAATTGAAAAACCTTCTTAGATCAAATCTCTCTTTAAAGTTGGGGGGAATAGGGAAGGGAGAAAGGAAGTCATAACTACTTCTTTATTCTGCATGGAATTCCTGTTGACTCGCAGTGGAATTGTGTCTTACATGACAGCTAATGTATCAATTGAATTATTCAGGTATGCATTAGAACAAATGGTGGAAAAAAAGGATACATGCAAAAACCTGTACACTGATTCCTTCCCTCCCCTCCCCCCAGCGACTCATCATCTGAAGGTAATCAGAAAAGCTTTGATTTATGGAAATACTGCCGTTGTTAATTACTATTTAGGGCAGGTAATGAATAACTGAAGAGGTACAGCCTACATGACCTTGCCTGCTCACCTTTGATGAACAGCTTAATCGGCGCTTCCCAGACAGCATGATATGCTGAGAAAATGAAAGCATTTGAAATTCAGCTACATTTTCCAATTAATAGTACATTAAGTAATTAATCATGCAGAGGAGGACAAAAGGTCATGGCTATTTTATTTGTATCTAAAAGGTTTTGTGAAGTGAGGTATGTGTGGAGGAGGAGTGGGAAATGTTACCACACAGAAGTAACCTAACCTCTGCACCATTCCTTTACTTGCTTTTTATATATTGTTGTGCATTATTAATGGTGGTTAGTGTATGTAATTTTACTTCTTAAGTGCTAACTAGCTGGGTTCCCTCTGCTTTGGAGTCACTGATATGAACAGCTATTACTACGACCCATATCTTACAAAATAGGTTAATTAAGCAACACTATTTAATGGACTGCTTGGTGCTTCAGGTTTGCATATAGAAGAGTAAATTTAAGCCCCGAAGCATCAGCATTCATGATGCTGATGGTCTTGTATTAACAAATTCAAAATAATATCTCCCCTAGGAAGGCAGAAATTTAGTTACTTTTCAGTTTGCGTTTTTCAGAGTCTATGTGGTTTGTTAAAATGGTGGAGGTATTTTAACTGTGATGGAAGCACCATTTTGTAAAAAATTCGGTTTTCTCAGACTTCAAGCACACCTTATATAGGAGGAAAGAAATTTGAGGAATTGTATTTTGGATTGAATCTAAATGACAAGATAGCTTCTTCTTGCTTCTCCCAAATAATATACCTGTCATCCTTAGGCAGTTTTCAGAGTTAAATGACACAGTGCTCTCTGACTTTGGCACCTGATTTCTGTTCAGTTCTGCTACAGACCCTTTTCCTCCGAGCGTAGCACATGGACTTTTCTGGAAGAAGTTATTTTTTCACATCTGTATGTGAAATTGTGGCTGCTCAATAAAATCTAGCAGAATAAAGGAATGTTTCAGAGAGTCTAAAACAGATACAGAAGAAGCTCTGATGAGTATTTTTTTTTTTTCTTCTTCTGGTTAGAATTCTACGCTTCTTGGACCACTGTTTAAAAGTTTGCAGTTTGGTAACTGAGATCCAGACTAAAGTGAGCAGTTCCATCTGATGAGCTGCCCTTAAGAAGTTCACAGTTTTCAGATTCTGAAGATCTATGCTGTATCTAAATACTTAAGCTCTTTTGTGTTTGAAATAGCACAATTTCAAATTAAGTCTAAGAATGTCACACAGTTCTAAAACAAGCGCTGAATTCCTCCGGTGGGTCTGCAGGAAGCGGAGCAGCAAGAGGTTCAAGCAAAAGCAGAAGGGAAATAACTGTGTGCAGTCATCTGCCATGCAGTTTTTTAACATTGACCCTGCCTGATTACTGTTGAAACTGTAGGTTAGAAAGCAGTCCACTGCTCGTGAAGAAGTTATCCAAGTAGAATAAGATGTGGTAATGAAGGTATAGGTAAAATTAAACCACTGGTGTTTTCACTTTGAAAAATGCTGTGTTTTCTAACCTGTAGAAGCCAGGGATCTCCTAGGGACGGAGTCAGCCCACTTTTTCCGGTTCAGTCAGAGAATGTGAGGAGAGAAGAGGTGCCCAGAAAAACTGAGCAGCATAGAAGCTGAAGTGCTAGACACTGTTTTCTCTCCATCTCTTCTTCTCAAACTCTATAATCCTTCAGCTAGGCGCAAAGCTCTTTGGAGCCCTTGTCTCTTACATCTCTCTGGACTCCAATACAATGTCCTGGCCTTGGCCTTAGTAAGGCAAATACATGTTCCAGTACAGCTTTGTCTCAGAAGGAGCACTGTTTTACCAGTATGTTAAAAAGATAATACCCTTACGCTGAGTATGCGGCTTTCAGGACTCTAACTTTAGCAGATTCACCCAAAACCATTGTAGTCATAAAGGATTATACTCAATTTTCAAATGTCAATTTTTAGTCTTCAGTAGCTTCAGAAAGTCTTATTAAAAAAAAAAAAGGGACAGAAAAAGACGTAAAAAAATGGGAAAAATATGACAATTGAGTTCATGTTTTACTTTTAATTCAAGGGAGGGGTTTAACTCAATGTTGTGCTTTGGAGGAGGATAAATCTTGGGAAATTTCAGACCTAATGGCACATGCTTTGGAATGCTATGAAAATGTGAAAACTTGTCCTAATGGAAAGCATTTTGCAGGTATAGCAATATTAAACACTATTGGTAAGGCAAGTGTAATTACCTCTGAGTAATGCAACTTCAGAATTTTTTTTATATTGACCTACCTTGTATTTCTCAAGTTATGAGCAAAGGCAAAAGCCACTTATCTTCTGTTATGGGAAAAATAAATGCAGTACATAATGATTAATTTTGAAATAGTGAACACTTAGAGCAGGTGCTTGTGTACAGCTTTAAATACCAACTTGTAAATTGTTTGAACTACAGCTTACATGATAAAACCTTTGGATTACTTATTAAAATCTTGGAAAACACCTGATGTCCACCATTAGGTTTCTAAAAGCATACAAAAGCGACTGTGCTAGATCAAGCTAAAGGTCTGCTGGTTTTGAGAGTAGCCATTAGCAGTTGCCTAGGGAAGAATGCAGAGGCAGGACAAATGAGTGGTGATCATGCCCTGAATGCTCTCCCAGTTTCCAGCTGTTTGGCACTGAGGAATTTCCTCGACTAGAAGTGGTCTTTTATTCGTGATGTTCTCAATGAATTCATGTTTGTGCCTTGTCAGCTTTGTCTTACTGTCTGTGGGCTCCTTGAAGCCTTCTAGTATCTGCCATGTCCTATAATGGAGTGCCAGCTTTTGTTACAAATCATGGGGAGGTGCAGCTGCTCTTGTTTTGAACTTGCACCTGACTTCTGTTTGATACATGTTGGCCTCTGGTACAGGAAGTGAGCAAAGCCAATTCCTAATCACCTTCTCCGACCTGTTCAGTTTTTTTAAATACCTTCTAAATAAAATACGTGCCCTTCTCCTGACATCGTTCTAGGTTGAATGGTCCAAGACTATTGAGTTGTTCCTTATGTAGAAATGGTTCCGTGACTGTGGATTTGCATTTTGTGTGAGGCAAGGTTGGTAACCAAGTGTTATATTTTTGTAGACACAGTGACAAAAATGAAGTCCCAAGTATTTACTTGATGGTCTTTGTACCTCTGAAGGAAGACATTTTCTGTATGTTGAAGCAAACCCTTTAGAACATGCATTATGTTTTCGGGTGTATGATTTTTATACATTATACTATACAAGATAGAAATTGAGAATGCTATTAAGATGAAATCCAATTTTGGCTTTGGATTTTTTCCAGTTATTTTAGAGGACTATTCACTGTGTGTGGATAACTTTGACTTAAAGTAAATAATAGTGCTTTCTTATATCACTGGAGATGTGCAAAGGGGTAGTTTTAGCCGTATTAATAATACATTTAGTTTTTACCCTTAGAGAAGATAGTTTATTACCCTGTTTGGTTTGCCTGTTAAAAGCAGCATTATTCTGGGGCCGTGCAGACTCAGGGCATGAGAGCCTGTAATGGGCTGCGTGACGGGGAGCCACTTAATGAAGGGCTTTTTTAATGTAAGGGCTATTACCCTCCTGGATACAAATGCAATTTGAAGAATGTCTAAATTGTAGTGGACAATAGTGACGTGCTGAGATGGACATCTTGTTTCCGATCTCTCAGATGGATAATGTGCCTGGATTGAATGTGTGCTAATTTTTTTTTAATTGGTTTTCTAGAAATCAGAGGAAAATAAATTAACAGTAGTGGAGGAAGTCCTTAGTTGCAGTTGTCATCTAGCATGACTAAAGGAGAACAGATTAAATCTCCAAAGATGTTCCTTAGTATTAGAGTGTTTCGCACGTGTGTGTGTTAGTTTTTACAGTGAAGAGTATTGCAGAAATCAATTTTTTACTTTGCAGAAATTACATATGACCTTACATGTTGTCCCATTTTAAAGAATAAAACTAAATTCGCTACTCGGGGGGGGGAAGGAAAAGAAACGAAACAGTTCTGAAAAGTAAAACATTACATATTCTGGTTTAGGCTGACGTTTTGGGGTCCCTGGTGGAAGACTGCACGGTTATTTCAGAATGGAGAGCATACATGGTGAAAGGCAATGGAGATGGGAGGAAGTGTGTTGACAAGTAATCTTAGGCCACACTTTCATGGTAATTTCTTTTATATGGGTTCTAGGCAGAATGTCTCTGGCTGCTCGTTCCTGTGTCCCATCATTCCCAGAGGCAGTCTCACATTGCTGCCTCCTCCCAGATGCTCTGATGTGCATGTGATTCTGAACTGGTGGGGACTGAAAATAATAATATTGCTGCCTGATGCTCTGATGTGCATGTGATTCTGAACTGGTGGGGACTGGGGACTGTTTGGTTTGTTAACCCAGTTCATTGTGTAGCTGTAAAAAGGGTTGTTACGTTGGTGCAGCTGATGAGGACCATGGGAGCTGGTGGGGTGGGTGGGTACAGGGGTTGTATAAACCTCTGGGGCGCCTGAAAGA